GTTTCATCCATTGTCTTGGAATACTCTGTACGTTTCATCCATTGTCTTGGAATACTCTGTACGTTTCATCCATTGTCTTGGAATACTCTGTGCATTTCATACATTGTCTTGGAATACTCTGTGCGTTTCATCCATTGGCTTGGAATACTGTGCATTTCATACATTGTCTTAGAATACTCTGTGCGTTTCGTCCCAGACACAAACTTGTGTGCTCTTTATAGGCTGTATTTTTTAGGGTTATGGTTAATAACTGTTGACTCTGAGTATTAGATATTTATTTTACAGTGAAATAACTAAACATCAAAGGTTCCTATGGCATATTCATATTTAGAATAATGAACAGGAATTACGAACATGAGAACAGATTAGGTTCATTAAACAAGAAAACAAAACCATCTTGAAAATGTTTCTACTGAGCGTTTAGATGTCATAATAATTAAACATTACATTTGTCCTATAAGAATACGTATGAAATATCAAAGGACGTTCTTCATATATTTTTAAAATGTTTTCGAGTTACAGTTTAATAAGTTTTATATGCAGTATAATTATTTGAAAATAGATTTATTTTGTCATATTCATTTTGGTGCTTAACCCTTTTCTTCAGTACTGTTTAAATATATGTACACACAAAAAAAAAACACATTTATTACACATTTTATTTTATCTGCTGCTTACAGCATGTGCAAAGCACAATTTTCAATTCTGTACACATGCATGTATAATATATACATATGCACATAACATACGGGTTAACTCTTGTCTGAATGTACTTAAAATACAAGTATAATATCATGCTCTTACTTTACGTAGTGTAGAAAAAAAATTACTGTTTTATTGATTCAATATAATTATAGATATAAAACACTCTACATGTACTAAAACTTTCACCCTCACAACTAAAGAGCTTATGGATAGCAGGACGTGTAATCCAGGTTATGTTTCGTTGTAATGGTTATTAACCGATGTCTATGTGTGCTACCAATCCAAGTTAATACGCCAAAACCGTTTATATGTTTATCTTATTTAATAAACGTTGAAAAGAAATCATGCCACAATCTGAGCATGGAACATAACGTGAAAGAAAACATCCTGGAATAATGAGTGTGTTAAAATATTTAGTTTCACATGCTCTCTATTAAATCTGTTATGTTAAGTGTATATTCAGTTGTTTGATAATCTAAGTTAAAGGGTTAAAAGTATTCCAATAAACAAAATACTAACAGGGTTTTTCTCTACCTACTTACCTGTAATTCATGTGTATCTACCTACTTACCTGTAATTCATGTGTATCTACCTACTTACCTGTAATTCATTTTTCTCTACCTACTTACCTGTAATTCATTTTTCTCTACCTACTTACCTGTAATTCATGTGTATCTATAAACTTATAATGGTTCAACCATATCCTCACCTTAGTATAAACCAAATGTGTCATTCTCAACAAAGCGACAGACATACAGACTTTTAGGTAACTGTTCGCACTTGCTTGCTACATAAGTACACAATGTAAAATTTGTAGAAATAATTTCTGTTTCACAAGTTTCATTTAAAATATTTACAAAACTCCACCCTTACTTTAGGCAATAATAATAATAATAACAAGAATTTTATCTCCTAATTATAACATAAAATGGGTACCAAAAGCAGCAACGGTTTCACGTGATCTTTTTCACCCACTGATATATATACGTTTTAAACAAGTGATAAATAAGGCAAACCAACACTAGTGCCGTTTCTTTGTTTCTCTGGTTAAAAAACTTCAAAGTTGCTGGAGTACATGTTTTTCTTTTGAAGTAAAAACCTTGAACAAGTCAAAATCAGACATTCTATACGGCCTGAAAAACAGAGATGACCCTCAATTACTGTGGGTTCAGAGTTTCAATGTGTAATACAATTTAATTTAAAACTATTTTCTAATAAAATAATAATCTATGCTATACTTACTTCAATAATTTCCCCAAAAGGGGGCCGAAGGCCACCTGGAGTGGTCACCTATTTTAACCACTCACACTACCATACAGTAGTGTGTTGTCTGTCTGTCAGTAAAATGTGAGCATGCCATGAATCACGAGAAGAATTATGCACTCTGTAGGCTACAACACAGCATCACATATGAACTTCAAAAGCAAGAAATACAAATATTTGTTACTCTTAATTTTGGTTTAATTAGTTTTGAAACAGAACACTTTAGTGGACCCTGCCAAAGCACTATCTAGTGTATGTTGTAACCAAGGATCTGTATTACCAACAGCTATCTTTTATCTATTTCTCTGTTTCTTCAAACCAAGAGACAAAGACTGTCAATGAAACTTCAGATATGATAACACAAATGAAATATATTATCGTTTTAGATTAACTTGATAATGGTTAGACACAAAAGTGAGTTGAACAAAACTGTTACCTTTGTAAGTAGTTAAAATAAAACAGTAGTTAAACAATTACCTGAATACCAATGCATACACTCTTTGTAATATCAGCTATGTTGAATTTGTTCTCAGCTGATCAGATATACTAATCCCTTGTTGTTGCAGATGTGCTCGGAACATCTGATTTTCATTTTTCAAGTCTTCACACTGTTGTCTCAGTAACTCAATGTTCAATGAAAGCTGCTCGTTGTCCTTTAATATATCAGGTAATCGGACATTGGTACTTCTCAGGTCTTGGATATAGTCGCAAGCCTTCGCAAGTATCCCACCTTTACTCTGCTTTAAGTCAAGAGTAAACAAAGATAATTTTTTGTTTTGCTTAGAACTTAAAACGCCATAATAACTAAGTTATCATTACGTGAACCATAGAACTCCATTCAAAATCAAATAAATAACAAAGGTTTTCATTATTAATAACCACTTTACGAGTATATCTTGTCTGAGGATAAGTCAAAGATAGCTTTGGGGAAGATTGCTCAATTAGAAGGGAAAAAAGCACTTGGAGCAGAAATCAGGAATGAAAGAGATAGTCTTGGGGGTGGGTGGTGCAGGGTATTAAACAATCTAGGGTTGTAGAAGCAGGTCCAAATATCAGTCTGTAACACAAATGAACCTTTGGCTTCTTGCAAGACAGAAAGAAGGAAATGAACAAGAAATAACTATTCCATTAAGTATACCCACAAAGTGTGGTGAAAAGAAAATATCAGTCTGTAACACAAATGAACCTTTAGCTTCTTGCAAGATAGAAAGAAGGAAATGAACAAGAAATAACTATTCCATTAAGTATACCCATGAAGTGTGGTGAAAAGAAAATATCAGTCTGTAACACAAATGAACCTTTAGCTTCTTGCAAGACAGAAAGAAGGAAATGAACAAGAAATAACTATTCCATTAAGTATACCCATGAAGTGTGGGGAAAAGAAAATATCAGTCTGTAACACAAATGAACCTTTAGCTTCTTGCAAGACAGAAAGAAGGAAATGAACAAGAAATAACTATTCCATTAAGTATACCCACGAAGTGTGGGGAAAATAAAATATAAGACTGGAATTTGTTTATAAAAAGTTTAGTTGTTGGATGCAAGAAGCATTCTTTGTTTTTTTGGTGCATCTAGAAACAAATGATAAAGAAAGCTGTAAATCAGAAGAGCCGAATATAAAAAAAAACTCTTTCAGAGGTTTAGAGATAGAAATTTACTTTTGGGAGTTAGGTAGTGGAATTAATGATTATCAGGGATATGTTCAGACCGGCATGTGGGCTGGTTGGGCAGGTGGGATAGTTTCTAGGGTATGGATGATTTATGTGTTAAAGGAAGACTATGTAGACTGGGCAGCACAGGAGAAGCCCTTAAGAATTTCATTAAGAACAGCTTAAACTAAACTTTTCATAGTGATGAAGAAGTTGGAAATAAATAAAAAGGACATCGGAAGAAACAAGTTTAAATAAGATTATAATGATAACTTCTACTAGATTTAAAGATTTGTTTTGGAATTTCGCGCAAAGCTACACGAGGGCTATCTGTGCTAGCCGTTCCTAATTTAGCAGTGTAAGACTAGAGGAAAGGCAGCTAGTTATCACCACCCACCACCAATTCTTGGGCTACTCTTTTACCAACGAATAGTGGGATTCACCATTACATTACAATGCCTCCACGGCTGAAAGGGCGAACGTGTTTGGTGGGACGGGGATTTTAACCCGCAGATTGAGAGTCAAATCCCTAACCACCTGGGCAGATTTAAAGAAAATTCATGAATAACTTTAGATGCTATTATTCTAATGTTAGATGAATAAGGAACAAAACAGAAGAACAGCTTGAACTGTATTGGAAGAACATCAATAATAGGACTTAAACTATTCAATGGCAATAGATTTTTTAAAAGACATTGTGAGCTACAGACTGTTGATACTGAAGACATAAATAAGGAGGATGAATCCAATCACAAGTTTCATGTGTAGAAAGTTTTTTTTTAAGGACATATGTAATAGCCACACAATTAAGCAGGTGATGTCAATGAGGTCACGACTAATAAGAGGAATACCAATCAAATAATCATGGGACACCTTACTTTTAGACATAATGATTGTGTTTATATGGAGTCAAATAGTGATTCAGTGTGGTTTTTCTCAAGGAACCAAAACCTTTTTTTAGAAAGGATGCCAGTTTATACTTATTGTTAACCATTAATAAGGACCTGGTTGCAAGAGATGAAGAATGATGATGGCATAATTAGGTTTGATGTCTTGCTGCAAGTTTATGAGAAACAACTGGTAGATAATGTAAAATGTGAAAACAGACATGGAACTCTTCAAGAATGGTAAAGGCTATGAAACGGTTTAGATTTCAACATTTTCTTCTTTGTAAGAAAAGATGGCAATATTCCCGACACAGAACATTCTCCAGGGAATTCCAGAATTTAACAGAATTATGTAGATATTAATCCATTGATCGTAAATAAAGATATTAAAAAAAATAGCTAATGCTTCAGCAACAAGCAATGTTGTTGTTTTTTTCCAGGGCCTTAAAAAAGGTCAAAGATCAGATATTAAAATCTCCCTCTTTTCCTTTTTTTAATAGTTAGTAAAAAGTGGGCAGATGCCTGACAATTGGAGAGTTGTTAACATTGATGGACAGCCTGGAAATTACTGGCCAGTTTAACAGCCTCACTTAAATAAGGACAAAAATCGTAGTCTAAACCCAGAACTGATCAGTGAAATATGGTTTCATAAGTGTAAACCAACATCGATTCGTCGAACATAAATCTTGCCTTACTAAAGTGTTAATTATTTTTTATGATATTGTAGGTTATTTGGATGATGGAAAGGGTGTGCACTCGGTGTACTCTTGTGAAAAGGTGCGCGCTCGGTGTACTCGTGTGAAAGGGTGTGCGCTCGGTGTACTCTTGTGAAAGGGTGTGCTCTCGGCGTACTCGCGTGAAAGGGTGTGCGCTCGGTGTACTCGTGTGAAAGGGTGTGCGCTCGGTGTACTCGTGTGAAAGGGTGTGCGCTCGGTGTACTCGTGTGAAAGGGGGTGCACTCGGTGTACTCGTGTGGAAGGGTGTGCGCTCGGTGTACTCGTGTGGAAGGGTGTGCGCTCGGTGTACTCGTGTGTGCACTTGGTGTACTCGTATTTTCAAATAAATATTTCTGATAAAGTATCTTACAGAAGATGATTTAAGAATAATTAATATACTGGGAGTTATGGGGGTGATTAATTAATTGAACTGAAAGATGAGAGAAAGTAAAAGTTCTTGTAAATGGAACTGGACCTTTTTGCTCGCAGCTTGCCACAGAAGTCAGAGAATGTCTGTTTTTATTCATATTGATATCATTGTTAAAAGCATGATTCATGAAGTTTGCTGATAGCATTAAACTCTGTTATTTCTAACTTTACTGAGAATATTGAGGTGTTACACAATGACCTGGATCAATTAAGTTTCACAGATATCCGGCACATGGCCTTTAATTATATCCTGGATCAAATAAGTTTCACGGATATCCGGCACATGGCCTTTAATTATATCCTGGATCAAATAAGTTTCACGGATATCCGGCACATGGCCTTTAATTATATCCTGGATCAAACAAGTTTCACGGATATATGGCACATGGCCTTTAATTATATCCTGGATCAAACAAGTTTCACGGATATCCTGCACATGGCCTTTAATTATATCCTGGATCAATTAAGTTTCACGGATATCCGGCACATGGCCTTTAATTATATTATATGCAATGTAATGCCTGTTGGTTACAAAAATTTAAATCACATGTTTAACATAACTGAAAAAATTTATCTTGTCAGAGCAGTAAACAAATCGCTTAAGGCAGTTCTTTGTTGCAATCAGTAAAGCTAACTGAATTTTAAAAAGTTTACATAAACATTCTAATCACAAGCCAAAAGAGAACATTACCTCTTTACAAAAATTGTCAGTTAGACTTTAATCAGAATATTTTGACAGCTTTGATCTCCTTACTGGTAAGATTCTAGAAACAGTTATGAGGTAACTTTACCAAAGTATATTCAAGACAACCAATAGACTTCTTTGTGCTGGATTCTGAAGACAACAAGATGAGAGGACACTAGCATAAGGTTTCGCATACAGAGTTGAGGTTCCTGACTGTTTTTTTTCTAATAGGGTGATTAGCTTATGAAAAAATTTGTCATCAACAACAGAAGAAGCTGACAGGAATTGATAATTTCATGAAAAATTGAGTAGGTCTAGTTTCTATTTTCTTCTCATGCTGAAAGAATCTTAAAGGATCAAATGGTCTCTTTCTGTTTATATGCAGGAACGTTTTCTTAACTTGCTATTTATTTCCATACACTTCACGAGTGGTATATTCTGAAGCACGAGCTAAACAAGCAGGTTAGAAACTCCAAGTTTTAGGCTTAGCTATCCCAAACTTAGTGCTATAACACAAGCACAATTGAAAGTGCAGAGAGTCAGTCCTCAGCTGCATGTCATGGTTTGATTGCACATATGATTAAGCTTTGTTGCATTATGGGTACATATGTCACATGTATGACATTCCTATGGTTATCTCTACATTTTTCTGTAATGTTCATTTTGTAATATTCAATAATAAGTACGCTTCTAGAAGTCTGAAGTTTCAATAAAATGTTTATTAAGTGATCAGAAATTGTATATATTAGAAATGCTGATAATTATAAGATTGTAATGTTAGTACTTTAGTTATGAAAATCAGTGGCATGCTCGTATTTAAGTAGCTTCTAAGTCTGACCCAGAACAATACTGAAGGGACCCGTGTATCATGTTAATAGTCTTTAAAAAACACTGATGCTGGTACAAAGAACGTTACTTTGATCACTGATGGCAGAAAACCATGTCATCAATTTTTAATTGTAAAGTAATACATTTAAAATGGTTTCACAAGCTTCACTTAAAGAGGAAGTAATTATACGATACAGTACCCGTGTGTGTATTAAATTATATGGTAAAACCCACAGTTTGTAACTTTGATATGTGTGTGACTCCAAAAAAAAAGTAACATCAGTTTTTTCATCTTTACAAACCTCGTGGACATCAACTTTTTCAAAGCTTTTCCTGCTAAATTAATAAGGTTAGTTTTGGCATATAGTTTGATAACAGTAGTTTTATAAGGTTAGTTTTGGCATATAGTTTGATAACAGTAGTTTTATAAGGTTAGTTTTGGCATATAGTTTGATAACAGTAGTTTTATAAGGTTAGTTTTGGAATATAGTTTGATAACAGTAGTTTTATAAGGTTAGTTTTGGAATATAGTTTGGTAATAGTAGTTTTATGTTAGTTTTGGCATATAATTTGATAACAGTAGTTTTATAAGGTTAGTTTTGGCATATAGTTTGATAACAGTAGTTTTATAAGGTTAGTTTTGGCATATAGTTTGATAACTGTAGTTTTATAATCATAGTATTTGTACATTCCTGATAACTATCTAGAGTAACAATAAGAAATGCTGTCCTCATCTCACATCTCTTGTGTAACAAAACTGAACATCTGAGCTGTTAAACAGCAAATATATGTTCCTTCTGTTTTCTACTTTGTAAGAGAAGATGTTAGCAATAATAACAATAATAGCAATATATATATAAACAATATAAACGTTACCTTAATTTATTTTCATAATGATTGACAAGTATTAGAAGTCCTATGTACATACACACACCTGGCCTTGTTTAGTATGATTGACAATACATTGACATGTACGTATATACAACACACACCTGGCCTTGTTTAGTATGATTTACAATACATTGACATGTACGTATATAAAACACACACCTGGCCTTGTTTATTATGACTTACAATACATTGACATGTACGTATATACACACGTGGCCTTGTTTAGTATGATCCACAATACATTGACATGTACATATATACAACACACACCTGGCCTTATTTAGTATGATCCACAATACATTGACATGTACATATATACAACACACACCTGGCCTCGTTTAGTATGATCCACAATACACTGACATGTACATATATACACACACCTGGCCTTACAATACACTGACATGTACGTATATATACACACCTGGCCTTCTTTAGTATGATCCACAATACATTGACATGTACGTATATACACACCTGGCCTTGTTTAGTATGATCCACAATACACTGACATGTACGTATATACACACCTGGCCTTGTTTAGTATGATCCACAATACACTGACATGTACGTATATACACACCTGGCCTTGTTTAGTATGATCTACAATACACTGACATGTACGTATATACACACCTGGCCTTGTTTAGTATGATCTACAATACACTGACATGTACGTATATACACACGTGGCCTTGTTTAGTATGATCCACAATACATTGACATGTACATATATACAACACACACCTGGCCTTATTTAGTATGATCCACAATACATTGACATGTACATATATACACACACCTGGCCTTACAATACACTGGCATGTACATATATATACACACCTGGCCTTCTTTAGTATGATCCACAATACACTTGACATGTACATATATATACACACCTGGCCTTGTTTAGTATGATCCACAATACATTGACATGTACGTATATACACACCTGGCCTTGTTTAGTATGATCCACAATACATTGACATGTAC